CACTGCCCAAAAAGAACTTTGAGCTGTTTGTTCTTGTCCTTAATGAATTAGAAATTAGAATGCCAACTAGATGGTATTTGGAATATGTCAAGGGATTTTAGGATAGTCCACAGGGCAAGGAATTGGACAGTATATTGAGGATACAAATAATGAGGTAACAAGATCTTAGAGTTTCAATAAAGCACACAACTCTCAAGTGAATCACTAAATGGTTTATTTTTATTTTTGTTTTATTTATTTGTGTCGTAGGGGACATGCTCTTGCCATGGTGCACTAGTGGAAAACAGAGGACAACTTGTGGGAGTTCCTTCTCCTTCTACCATTGTGGGTCTCAGGAATTGAACTCAGGTTTTCAGGCTTTGTGGCAGGCACCTTTGCCCAATGAGCCATCTCACTGGCCCTTTACTTTTTTATTTTTGAGATGATAGCTATCTATGTTTCCCAGGTTGCCTCAAACTCATGATCCTCTTGCCTCAACCTCTGCATTCGATGGGTTACAGGTATGTGTCACTGCATTTGGTTAGCTGAATTTGTTTTTGTGACCTCCCTATGCAGCCCGGGCTGCTCTTGAAGGGTCAATCCTCCTGCATCAGTCTCTCAAGTGCTGGGATTACAGATTAGTGCCACTACACCCAAGCTTATTGGAAGATTTTAATTATTTATTTTTATTTGTATGTGTATGAGTGTTTTGCCTACTTGTAAATATGTGTATGCAATGCCCATAGAGGTCAGGAGAGAGCGTCGGATAACCTGGAACTGGAGTTGCCAACAGTTGTTAACCACTATGTGTGTGCTGGGTTCTCTGCACACACATAGGACAGAGGACTTTGCTGGGCCATCTCTCTAGCTCCTCTGTTGTATGTCTTTGAGTGTATTGGCTGCATGTACGTGAGTGCACCCGTGTCGTGCAATGCCTCGGAGGTCTGAAGAGGGCTTTGGATACCCCTGGAAGTGGAGTTAAGGACAGTTCATAGTCGCCATGTGCGTGCTGGGACTCAAACTCAGGTCCTCTGCAAGAGCAGTCAATGTTCTTAACCGCTGAACCATCTCTCCAGCCCTAGTTTTATTCTTTTAAATGTTACTTGATTGTTAACTTACAAAGTAATGGGTTGCATTATGGCAGTTTCACACATGTGTCATTATACTTTGTTCTAATTTGTCCTCCACCCCTATTGCCCTTGCTCACGTGCAAGTGTGCGTGCGTGCGTGTGTGTGTGTTGTAGCATATACTGCATGTGTGTTTGTATGTGAGTGCAGCTAATGCACACACACATACGTGAGCATGTAGAGGCCAGAGGTTGACATTAGCTATCTTCCTTGATTGCTCTCCACCTTTGGTGTGTGTGTGTGTGTGTGTGTGTGTGTGTGTGTGTGTGTGTGTGTTATGCCTTTATGCTTACCCAAGCTGGCATGTATAGAGGCCAGGGGTTGTGGTCAGAATGTCTTCAGTTGCTTCTCCATTTTTCAAGACAGGGTCTCTCATTGAACCAGGAGCTCAACAATTTAGCTAGGCCACCTGGCCAAGATGGTCTCTACCTCCCTGGCACCGGAGTCACAGATGTGCTTGTTTTTGAGACAGAGTCTTACTATGCAGCCCTGGCTGACCTGGAACTCACTATGTAGACAAGGCTGGCCTCCAAATCAGAGAGATAGACCCATCTCTACCTTCTGAGTGCTAGGATTAAAAGTATGTGCAACTATGTCCAGCCCTCACCTGGCTTTTTAAGTGGATGCTGGAGATCCAAACAAGTTCTCATGCTTGCATGGTGTCCTAGTTTGCTCTTCCTTGCTGTGACAAAATACTCTGACCAATACCAACTTGGGGAGGAAAGAGTTTATTCAGCTTACATCTCCCAGGTCGCAGTTCATCAGGGAGCCCAAGGTAGGAACTCAGGGCAGGAACCTGGAAGCAGGAGCTGGAGCACAGGCCATGGAGGAACGCTGCTTACTGGCTTGCTCCCCTCACCCCTGCTCCGCTTGCTCTCTTATCCAACACAGGCCCACCTGCCCAGGGATGGCATCACCCACAGTGGGCTGGGCCCTCCCACATCACTCATCAAGAAGATGCCCCTCAGACATGGCCACAGGCCAGTCCAATGGAGGCAATTCCCCATTTGAGGTTCCCTCAACCCAGGTGTGTCAAGTTGACACTAAAGCTATCCAGCACACATGGCTATAGTACTTTGCCAATCAAGTCATCTCCTCAGCCTCTATTTTTTTGAATTTTTTGAGGTGATTTCATTATGCATCTATGGCTGACTTGGAAGTCTTGTAGACCAGGCTGGCCTTGAAGTTTCAGTGACCTGCCTCCACCTTGTGAATGCTGGGATTGCATATCATGCACCACCATGCCCGGCTGCCTCAATGACTTTTTAAGAAAAGTAGAGGAGAGGAAGAAAAAATGGAGAGGTTCAAGGCCATCCTTACCTTCTTAGCTAGTTTGAGACCGGCCTGGGCTACTTGACACTGTCTCAATGAAACCAAAAAAAGAAAGAGAGGGGAGGAGGATAGAAAAAGAAAAAGATAAATCTTTTGATCTGGGCATGGTGATGTAGGTCTGTAATCCCAAATGGCTAAAGCAGGATTATGAATTCAAGACCAGCCTAGGCTACACAGGGAGACACTGTCAGTAAAACAATTTCTTAGCCAGGTGTGGGGGCACCCCCCTTCAATCCCAGCACTTTGGAGACAGAGACACATGGATCTCTGTAAGATGGATGATAGCCTGGTCTATATAGTAAGTTCCAGGACAGCTGAGGCTACAGGGAGACCCTGTCTCAGAATGACCAAAAATAAAAAGGAAAATGAAAAAGCAAAAAACCCCACAATTTCTTAGGGGTAAGGGTGTGGGTCAGTGGTAGAGCACCTGGAGGTGAGTAGCCCTGGGTTCTGTCCCCAGCACTTCAAAAAGATGGGAACAGAAGTAACATTAAAAGAATCTTTTAAACTTGGATACATACACTGCTACTGAGCTCTATCCCCAGGTCAAACTTGGGGGTTTCTATAGAAAGTATGATGGCAAAGTGCTCTGGAAGGAGTACACATGGGCTCTCAGTGGACACTGTGAAGCTGGGTACTGCTGCCATCATTCATTCCCTGTGAATTTTAAACCAAATCAAATAAAGCCATCTTTCTTCCCGTCCAAAAGTCTTTTGCAAGACTTGGCCTCCAGCCACCAGAGTCTTCCCAACTAGGGAAAGGTAGGATTTGTTTAACTGCTTTGTTCTTTCCTTTTTAACCTATTTGTGTTTAACCAGATCCCTGTCCCAATCACTTAGGCATTTTAACAACTTCTTTTTGTTTGTTGAAATAAGAGATAAACTTTAGATAACTGTCCAAACTCCAAAGTTTAGGTTTACTGTGACCCTGCCGCCCCTCACCCCTGCCTTGGGTGGCTTCAGCTGGTTGCTTCCAGCTGCTGGGCACTGGGAAACAGAGTGGACCACTAGAGGGGGAAGGGCGAACTAGCGGGGTCACTGCTCCCCATCCATTCCTAGACCTGCGGCAATCCACCTGCCCAGGCGCTGTGTCCCTGGCAGGGCTTTCCCCTTCCCAAGGTTCTCTGCCTGACCTTCAAGCCTCCTGGGAGTCACCAGCCTGGTGAGTGCCCAGGTCTGGACGGCCTAGGTGGTGAAGAAAGGCCCAGACAACAAGGAAAGTGAGACTCGCTCGGCTCAGTCTCCCTACTCGGAGAAGCCAGAAGGAAAGCGACTGTCCTGTGGCAGAGGGGACCCGCGCCAGGAGTAAGGCAGGCTCAGCGAACAGCTGAGTACCTCGCCATTGCGATCGCTGTCCTGTGAGGCCGCAGGGGCTACCAGACTGTGCCAAGACCCTCTCACTGGCAAAGGTACTCCAGGCGCAGCGCAGACCCCTGACATTAGTCCTCTATCACCCCACCACCATCCCCTCCCCCACAGCTTGCAGCCATTCTCCCGACAGGCAGAAATGCGACTTTTAGCAACCTCCAACCCACCTCCGCTCTTCGGACAGACAGAATGTGGGGTTAAAAGTCCTATTGCAAAAGTCCCACCTCTGATCTCGGGTCTTATCTAAGATTGATAGCATGAAAGCTCTTTGGAGCCTGGGCCAATTTTTAACAGCCAGTGAAAATCACAAATGCTTTGAAGCCGGCTGTCAGTGTTTCAGACAAGTCTGAGTTCTGTTTCCAAAAACTGAAGTTTGTTGAAGGAAACATTAAACTAAAAATTGTTCCCCACTCCTACCCCCTTGGATTCATTTGCCCATCCATGGGAGGGACCTCTTAGTTCCAAGCAGCTAGACACCTGGGAGAAACAAAAAGGTACATGCAATTTCCAATAGCACTGTAACTGCCTACTCAGGGCAGACTTGGGCAGAGCCAGGCTCTTCAAAATTGCCTGCCTCTTCCAAGGTAGAATTCTTGACTGATCTTTTTTTAATAAGTTTCCTTTTTCTTCTACCAGTTTCCTGGTCACAATCTTTGGCCTAAAGTCCAAGCATAGAATGTTCTTTGCTTGTGGTTTTCAAGGCTCCCAGCCAAAATGGCCTTAGGCCCTCCTAGGAAGCAAGACACAACTAAGGGAGTATCAGTTCACTGGTGGAGCTGGGGGTGCAGTTCAGTGGCACTATGCTTTTGAGGCCCTGGGTTCAATCGTAAAAAAAGTACACTTACCAGAAAAAAACATCCTTTACCCCTGCTATTGTCTGAATTTGAAAAAGGATGATAGGTTTTTTTTGGGGGGGTGGGGGGATGGGGACAGTGCTGGAGCTTGACCAAGGATATATAGCACATGCTAGAAAGTGTTCTGCCACAGCCATGCACCCAGCCTCTAACTATTAATTTAATTCAGCATATAATCACTGGTGAATACATTTATAAAACTGGCTAGCCTCCAAGGGAATCAATAGCACCAATGGTGTTGGGGGGAGGGGTTTCAGCAGGAGATGACCTGAAGGTATACCAAGAGGGGCCACCAATAAGGGAGCTGCCCACCCCTTGACCTACTTTGGGGCCCAGGGTGCTGGCATAAAAGGTGGCCTTGCATGGTTTGAGTAGCAGGTTCACTGAGGTGTGGATGTTAGACTGTCACCTTTCTCTTTTAAAGATACCTTGGAAAACCGTCACAGGTAAGTTGACTGAAGATGTCCCATGTTATTTCCTATCAGCCCTTTCATCTTCCTCCTACACTTCTCCTCCTGTCGCTGCACACCTTGCTCTGATTCAGGGAACGTATGCCCACATTTCCAGTTCCAGTCTAACACTGGCATACCTCAGGGAGATTGCAGATTTGGTTCTAGACCACTGTGATAAAGTAAATTTCACAATAAAGCAAGGCACGGGTTTTTTTTTTTTGACTTTTCAATGCATATAAAAGTTACAGTTGCAGCGTGCACAAGTTTACTATGTGCAGCATTATCATGACTGAAAAAAAACCCCAAACATTATACATACCTTAATTTAAAAATACTTTATTGTGCTGAGCATGGTGGTGTGTTTTTGATCCCAGCACTTGCAGGGTAGAGGCAGGCAGATCTCTGTGAGACTGAGGCCAGCCTGGTCTACATAAAAAGTTCCAGGCCAGCTGGGGCTAAATAAAAGACAACAAACTTTATTATTGTTTGAGTTGTTGGAAACCTGGTGCCAATAGACTTGCTCAGTGCAAGATTGCCATTAACTTTCAATTGGTGACAGCTGCAGTATCTGCATAGCGCCATAAAAGGAGGTATGTTTGCAGTCTGTGCTGGGATTTCTACTAGGGTCTTAAACCAGATATGCTGAATTTGCTCCATGCAATTCCTTTCATTTGTTCTATTACCTTCGATAGGTTTCTCCTGTGACAATGTCTTCCATCAAGATTGAGTGCGTTTTGCGAGAGAACTGTAGGTGTGGGGAGTCTCCAGTATGGGAGGAAGCGACCAACTCTCTGCTCTTCGTAGATATCCCTGCAAAGAAGGTTTGCCGGTGGGATCTGCTCAGCAAGCAAGTGCAACGAGTGGCTGTGGGTAAGGATGAGGGCTGGGCTCCTTCCTTTGCCATTAGCCATCTTTTGCCAGGAGAGGGGGCCCATCACCCAGTTTGTCATTGCCCTGGGACCTTCTTGTTAAACCATACAGAAAATGCCTTAAAACCCTTTGGGTTGTCATGTTTTCTGTGTCCATGATTTGTGATACCTGTCCTTCCATTCGGACCCAGTTGGAAATGATGGATCTATAAGTATTTAGCCTCTTCCATCAAGCTCAGTGCTCCCAGTTTTGTTTTCTTTCTTGTGATGGTGCAAGTGGACCCCTAGTCCTCAGGCATGCTAGGTAAGTGCTTTATCACTTAGCTACACATCCAATCCCCTAGTTTTGTTTTGATGCTGACATACTTTCCTGAACACCTTCAGATAATAGCATGAAAACCTGAAGATTCCATCTACCTTGGGTTAGACCAAGACTTTAATTTGCATAATAATAATAGTGTATTAGTTCTTCATTTAAAAATGTTTTTAAGGCTTCAAATGCATCAGCCAGGACTGTGTTTGTTCCCTGCACAAATGTGAGATTCCTGACAGGATTATAAGGGATTTCAGCGTGAGCTTTGTGGTTCCTAGACAGAAGTTTCTATGGCCGAAAGCAATGGGCTGATGTGATTATCAGTAGACAAGTTTCTGTTTTCATTACTGGATTCCTGGGAAGAGATATCAGGAATTTCCAAGGCTACTGGAATTTCTGGTGTCTTTACCCATGAATCCAATTGAATGCAAGCCTTTTTTCTGGTGCTAGGGATTGAACCCAGGGCCTGTGTTTGTCACAAGCTCTATCCCCAGACTGAGTAGCTTTCTTTTTTAGACACTTTTATTTTTACTTGTTTTACGTGAGCGCGCACGCACGTGTCATGGAGCACATGTGGAAGTCAAGGAAAACTTGAAATATTCGGTTCTCTCTTTTTTTTTTTTTTTCACCATGTATGGAACTTAGAGGCCAGCTTGTAAGTGTCTTTCCTCCTACCATGTGAGTTCTATGGATGGAACGCAGGTAATCAGGCTTGCTGGCAAGAGCCTTTACTCATTGAGACATCTCACAGGCCCTAGCTTTGTTTAGAAGGCAGGGACTTGCTATGAGGCTGGCCTGGAAGTCAAAATCTCCCTGCCTCTCAAGTGCTGGCATTACAGATGTGCACCACCATACCCGGCTGGGACCAGCTTTTAAATTTACCTAGCAATATAAATGCAGCTGGAGGCAAAACCAACTCTGCCCCTGCCTTCCCTGATCCTTTCTTCCCAGCATGAACAAAAGGCCTACGCCTAATCTGCAAAGCCTTCTAAACCATGCAAAGGGCTTGTGATGTTAGCAGTAGCTTGGAAAGTTAACAGGAAGAGTCTATGGCCATGGTTGAGATCCTTGTTGAGGGTATGGCCCTTCTAAGAGGGTTTTGCATATTCCCAGGCCCCTTAAGGACTTGAATCAACTTCTGAACCAGGCTTTGTATTAAAAAGCACCCACCACTTAGCACTGATGTGGTGCTTAGGAAATGTTTTCAAACAAGTTCTGATAGGTATTTATGACTGCTCACTGTGGTAATCTATCTCTCCACTTAAACATTCTTACACATGGAAGAATATATTTTTAATTTTTTAAAAAAATTTATGTGTATGAGTGTATTGTCTGCATGTTTGTAAATGTACCTGTGTTGTGCAATGCCCTTGGATGTCAGAACAGAGTGTCAGATCCCCTGGAACTGAAGTTACAAATGATTGTTAGCTGCCATGTGAGTGCTGGGAAGGGATCCTGGGTCCTCTGCAAGAGCAACCAGTGTTCTTAACCACTGAGCCAACTCTCCAGCCCTATACATGGAAGAATAGTAAACCCTGAAAACCTAAACTCTAAAAATACAAAATAGAATAATATAGTAAAGAGATAATAATAAAGAGATTGTGTCTCATTGCATGCACAATTCTGGTTTTTGTTTTTTTTTTTGGTCTTTTTGAGACAGGGTCTCCGTGTAGCCCCAGCTGACCTGAACTCACTGTGTAGACCAGGCTGGCCTTGACCCCACAGAGATCCACCTCCTGCCTCCTGAGTGCTGGGACTAAAGGCATGTGCCACCACACCTGGCACAATTCTATCTTTTTAAAAGCATACTTACTTTCAAAAATATTTGAGAAACAACTTGTAATTAAATATGGTAAAAATAAAGCCCTTAAAAAGAAAAGATATCAACCAGGCATGGCAGCACATGCCTATAATCACAGCATTCAAAAGGCAGAGCCAAGAAGCCACCCTTGACTGTGTAGCCAGACACTGTCTCAATACAAACAAAATTACATGGCCCCTTCCTAAGAGATACCAGGTGACACAATGGACTCTGTGCTGCTGGGCCAAAAGACCACTTACCGCCTTCTAACTATTATCTTTGCCTCTGCAGAGGCCCCAGTTAGTTCAGTGGCTCTTCGCCAGTCTGGAGGTTATGTTGCCACCATTGGAACCAAGTTCTGTGCTTTGAACTGGGAAAATCAATCAGTAGTTGTCCTGGCCACAGTGGATAAAGATAAGAAAAACAATCGATTCAATGATGGGAAGGTGGATCCGGCTGGGCGATACTTTGCTGGTATGATTTCTTTCTCTTTTTTCTTTTCTTCTTTTTTTTTTTCCTGTGTTTGAGTCTTGGGGAGGGGGAGTTGCTGCAGCTGGAATGCAACAATGCTGAACAAGTGTTCTTCACTCCTAGCCCCTGTAAACTAGCTGGCTGGCCTGGAACTCACTAGGTAGACCAGGTTGGCCTCGATCTGCCTGCCTCTGTCTCCCAAGTGCTAGGATTAAAGGCATGCACCACCATGCCGGGCAACAATGGTATATATATATATGTCTTTTTGAGACAAGGTCTCCCTATAGTCCTACCTGGCTTGGAACTCATAGAGATTCACCTGCCTCTGTCTCCCAAGTGCTGGGATTAAAGGTATGTGCCACCATGCGTGGCGAAAAAAATGGCATATTCTTACATGAATACAGTACAGTCATCAACTTATAGAAATTTAACATTGATTCAATTTTACCTGATATACTGTCTCTATTCCTGTTACGTCAGTTGATCAAATAATGCCCTTTATGGACTTTTCCCCTCTAGTAGAGGAACCAGTCTGGATCACATAGTGCACTTACTTTCCTTGTCTTTTCATCTTCTTAATGTGGAACATTTCTGTGACCTTTTTTTTATGACATTGCCATTTTTAAAGAATACAGTCCCACCCAACTCCCCCCTTTAATAATAGAGCATTCTTCATTTTATGGTTGCCTGATGTTTCCTTGTGATTAGTTTGATGTTAGGCATTTGTGGCCAGAATACTGTGTAGGTGATGTTCTGTCCTTCCCAGCGTTTCCAATCTGGAGGTACACAATGCCCCTCTGCCCCTCATTGGTGATGAATTTTGATTCCCCAGTTAAAGTCCTGTCGCATTCCTCTGCTGCAAGGTAACTGGTGTTTTATCTTGTTTTGTTTTGTTGTTTTGAGAAAAAGTTTCACTATGAAACCCAGGATGCCCTCAAAATTGCTATGCAACCCAGGCTGGCCTTGAACTTGCCATCCTCCTGCCTCTACCTCCCAAATGCTGGGATTACAGTCATGTAGTCATGTACCACGACACCTGACTACACATAACTTTAAAAGAATTTTAACTGTAGTTTAAAATTAGCTAATGCATTTCACACTTATTTTTCATTTACCTCCCATAACAATGACCCTGTAAGTTATCCAGAGTTGATTCAGCTTCTCTCTTTTTTTATTCCCCAACACTGCCCCTTCATGTTTTTGGTCATGCCCCACTTACTATCCCTGTGAAAGGCAGGTAAGATCTGGCCCCATCCTGCTGGACCATTTATAAACACAGATATCATTCAAGATAGGTTAAAAGATTAAAGTTGTGAGTCCATTAAGAGTCCTTCTGCCTGTAATCTCTGCAAGATAAATGAGTTATGAAGCTGATCTTGGTGGTATACAACTGTAATCCTAGCATTCAGGAAGCTGAGGGGGAAATATTGAAAGCTTAAGGCCAGCCTTGGCTACATAGCGCAACCTCCTTAGAAGGAGGAAAGAGAAGACTATCCCTTTTGGTGTGATCTTCCATCTCTTCCTGTGAGGGTGCTAGTGTGGAACAATGCTCATAAAGCAAACCCAACTGCTCCAAAGCAGAAAACTGCTGATTGACCATCCTCCCCAGGGAAGGAGCATCTACTCTGTCTTGTTCACTATTCGGACTTGCTGCTCCTATTTGCAGTCTGTTTTCCTCTTCTTTCAGATGGAACATGACGTGAGGCTTCCAGTTTCCATGATAGTCAGAGTCTGCTCTGTCCTCTGAAGTTATGTGATACTCAAGTCCACCCAAGTTCTCAAGTTCACTTGAGAAGAACACATCAGTTAAGACTTGGTTGATGCTTTCAGTTCTTCTTTACCTTTGCTGACTTTCTATCTACTTATCTCTATCATTGGTAGAAGGATGTTGATAGTCCTCAATATAAACCAATATTTTTTACCTCTTCTTTCAGTTATGACAAATTTTGCTTTATGTATATTGAAGCTCTGTTATTAACCATATATGCATTTAGAATTACTATGTATTCTTAATTAATCAACAATTTTCAATATGTAACTTCCCTCTTTGCCCCCAAATATCTACCATATGTAATGTGACATTTTCATTTCATTGCCTTCAAGCATTTTGATTTAGAGAACGGCCACATGTTTCAAGATGCTATTAAGTATACTTCTCAGTCAGCTGGGAGCAGAGGAATTCTACCAATTAGCTCCACTCCAAAAATCTTTGGGATACTCATTACAATCTGATCTATGTGGTACAGGCTGAGGATGAGCCTAAGAGATCATGAACAGCTTTAGGGGGTTATGCTTCTATGTACCTCAGGATGACCTCAAACTCCTGATCTTCCTCCCTTCTTCAGTCTTCAGAGTGCTAGGATTATGTCACCACACTTGACTTATACCATGTGTTTTGTCCAGGTTTTATACTTGTGCTCAGTAGGAGAAAATGAGTTTAGAACATGTTTCACCCCTTCTTATTTGAAACCTAACCTCTAAATTGTGTGTGTGTGTGTGTGTGTGTGTGTGTGTGTGTGTGTGTGTAATGTTTGAGACAGGGGATTGTTATGTAGCTCAAGTTGATCTCAGAGTTAGTATCTTCTAGTCCCATGCTCTATAGTGCTTGGATTATAGGTGTGTACCACCACAATGAGCCTCAGGGTAGTTTCTATTTGCATTATTTGAAAATTCTTGAGGAATCAATACAAATTTATTTTAAAGATATAAAAGCCAAATTGAGATTCTATAATAATCTCCTTGACTTAAATACTGCAAATGACCCCTGGTAAGAAAGGATGGGGTCGTGTGGTGTGTGGGGTGAGATGCTGTGAGGTTGAGCTAATGTTCTTTGGTTCCCACAGGCACCATGGCTGAGGAAACTGCCCCAGCAGTTCTTGAATGGCACCAAGGGTCCTTGTACTCCCTCTTTCCTGATCACCATGTAAAGAAATACTTTGACCAAGTGGATATCTCCAATGGTTTGGATTGGTCCCTAGACCACAAAATTTTCTACTACATTGACAGCCTGTCCTACTCCGTGGATGCCTTTGACTATGACCTGCAAACAGGACAGATCTGTATGAACATCTTTATTATTTTTTCACAGTACTGTTCACATTATTTTCTTATGTTCATGACTGGTAATGGACCTCTCCTTTAGTCTGTGTTAAAATGTCTTTATCTGTCAAATAGAGAACTTTCCAGTATAATGATGAGTACGTAGATTTGACTAAGCTTCCAGTCAAACAATGGCTCTCAACGCGTGTGAAATCTGGTATTTGGGACTGGGGATTTAACTAGTCTAATATAGATAGGCCTTTAATCTTTCTTTCTTTCCATCACCAGAAAGGGCCTCACTGGAAAATAGATTCCACCCTCCCAGAAGGTGCCTAGAGGCACATAACATACAACAGAATGTGATAAAAGAGAAAAAGAGGTTTTCGGTTCCTGTTTCTTATTTGTACTTTAGTTAACCATAGGCAAGTATTCAGAGGCAAACAAATAACCTTTGAAACTGGAAAAATTAAAGTACTTACAGGTTGGTTCAATTCCATCAATGTGCTATAAATGAGCCACAGTTGGAAACTGTGAGAGAAGAAATTATTTAGAAGAACTTAGAAGGGAGACCTTGAAACTGTTTGATGAAAGGTGCCAGACCAAAAGAGCAAAACCAATCATAAAAATGACTTGAAAAAAAATCACAAGACTCTCCATGTAGATTTAATCAGAGGCAAAATATTCTAGTACAGATGTTATGCTTTGAAATATGTAGTACTCTTCTTTTTCTATGACTGTTCTTACCCAATTTCCTTACACATGGTTTTAACATTTTTCTATTATACCTCAATGTGATTGCTGTAATGACCTGAATTTTGTAGCTGATTGCTTTTCTGTCTTGTTTTTTGAGGTGCTGGGGATCGAACCCAGCTCATATGTGCTAAACATGCACTCTACCACTGAGGTACACCCCCCAGCCCTCTACCTTTTGATGTTCATTTTGTGTATATTGTTAATTCTCTTTTAACTAGCCAGTAGGTTTGAGAATTCCCCTTCTTTCAGAAATGAGCTCTTCCAATATTTATTTTTGATTTTGTAGCATTTACTCAGTCAAAAAAGAATGCATGTCTCTCCAGATTTTGTTCATGTGGCACCATTAAGTTACCTTATAAATCTTAGGCTTGGTCAAAGTAGGCATTTCCGTAATTAAGATAGTGAAGGTCTAAGCACAGACTCAAGAATATCTGAGATAGGTCTGTAGACCTTCAGTTCAGGTCAGCCTCAAAGAGCTACCTATTGACACTTTATTAAGAATTCTGGCCAGGCTTGAAGGCACATACCTTTAATCCCAGCTCTCAGGAAGCAGAGGCATGTGGATCTATGTGAACTGGAGGCCAGCCTGGTCTACATAGCAAGTTCCAGGCCAGCTGGGGCTACAGAGAAACACTGTCTCAAAACAAAACAGAATAAAATGACACAACTGTAATCCCAAGGCTTTGAAGTCTGAGGCAGGAGGATTACCAGGACTGTGAGGACAGCTTGAGCTATACACATTCTAGGCTGGCCTTGGATATAAAATGAGTCCTTGTCAAAAAAAAAAAGGAGAGGAAAGGAAAAGAAAGGAAAGGAAGATGATGAAGGAAGGAAGGAAGGAAGGAAGGAAGGAAGGAAGGAAGGAAGGAAGGAAGGAAGGAAGGAAGGCACAACAAATAAAGAATTCTGCTTTCTGGGATTCAGTGGGAGACCATTTGTCTAGCATGCATGAGGCTCTAGATTCTATCCCTAGTATTGAAAAACAAAGGTTTTTTTCTCTTCCTCTGAAATCCTAGACAGCTATGTATGTCTAAAAACAAAAGGGAGTGAATCCATCTCAAATCATGTGGTAAAAAATCCTTTGTTTATATGCCAGGCACTGGACAAGTGTAAGTGGCCAGTATTTATAATCAGTTAGAGAGCTCACTGTCCAATTGTCAGCATTGTGTGGCCCATTGTTTTGTTGTGTTTCGATTTTGTTTTTAACCACAGCCAACCGCAGAAGTGTTTACAAGCTGGAGAAAGATGAACAAATCCCAGATGGAATGTGCATTGATGCTGAGGGAAAGCTTTGGGTGGCCTGTTACAATGGAGGAAGAGTGATTCGCCTAGATCCTGAAACAGGTAAGCCCACGGCAAAATCTCCACCCAGTCTAGAAAACTTTTACCAGTGATAGTGACCATTACTGGCTAGCGGCATATTCAGTGGTCTTAATTGGACGATTTTAGAAATAAAGGCAAAAGATAGCCCCAAATTCACTATAAATTTCACTATAAAAACTTTTCCCATGGAAGCAAGTCTCTCTGTCCAAAATAAATTGTCACTGAAAGCAGATTAAATGCAAGGATGGGAACCAGATGGTATGATGGCACATGTCTCTGATCCCAGCACTCAGGACACTAAAGCAGAAAGATGTTGAGTTTGTGGCAGCCTGGGGTACATAGTACCAGACCATAACAGGGTTCTGAGTGAAACCTATACCAACCCTCTCCAAAGGATGTATTCTTACCTCCACAATCTCTTAGAACTTCATTATCCACAAAAGGTTCAGAAGTATTGTTTAAGTTTGAAATTGCCAGAACTGAACTTCAAATAAAATATTTGGTCACCAGGGCTGGTTAAAAGCACTGGCTGCTCTTGCAGAGAACCTGGGTTCAGTTCTCAGCACCCACATGGCAGCTAACAACTGTCTGTAACTCCAGTTCCAGGGGCTCCGACACCCTCTTCTGATATCTGTGGGCATTGCATGAAGCAGGTGCGCTTGCATACATGTAGGCAAAACACTCATACACATAAAATAAAAATAATAAATAAAATATTTTTTAAAATTTGGTGACCTAGGGAAAAAACTCCAAACTGTGAAATTGCCTGTTGATAAAACAACTTCATGCTGCTTCGGAGGGAAGGATTACTCTGAAATGTATGTGACCTGTGCCAGAGACGGGATGGACCCTGATGGCCTATTGAGGCAACCTGAAGCTGGTGGAATTTTCAAGGTGGTATGGCCATTTTTTTTGTGGGGGGGGATATGGAGGGTCCTCTGTTAAGCAACTGATCTGTGCTTTTGCATACTTCCCAAACCTAATTCCACTTAGCACATTAAGCTAATCACACTAGACTTAATTGTTCAGGTTTTATAGAATGTTATGTAAGTCCAGGATGATGTGTCTGGCCTACATTTTTACAGTATTTTAAAATATTTTTATGCTTCAGCCGGGTGTGGTGGTGCTCGCCTTTAATCCCAGCACTTGGGAGGCAGAGGCAGATGGATCTCTGTGAGTTTGAGGCCAGCCTGGTCTCCATAGTGAATCCAGGACAGCTGGGGCTACAGGGAGACCCTGTCTCAAAAAGACCAAAAAATACATATTTTTATGCTTCAACAGTATTTGTTGAACTATTTCAAATTAGTAGAATAAGCTTGGAAAACCAGAGTTTGCAACGTGTTTTAAGATCACTTAATAGTTTTGCTGTCATAAAACTATTTTCAGGTTTTTAACATTTTTCTGTGACAGCACAAATTGTTAAAAATCATAGACATTTTGAGTTTGAAAACAAATGTAAAAACACCAGGCATGGTAGTAAACTCCATGATGCATGAAGATTATGAGTTTGAAACCAGCCTACACTGTATAGTACAACACTTTCTAAAAAAAATGTAGAAACATAGAAACTCCTTTCGTAGCAAATGAGAAAATGATAGAAATAAATTCAGTTTTAAGTCCATGTAAGCACTTGCTAGGAGGACTGTAATCTATGAAAACTGGTTGAGCTATAAATAGCTAGCCAGTTATTTTTCATGATAGGAAATAAAATAGGGTTTATTACAGGTAGCTAGACATATTATTATAAATTATAACTAGGCGTTTGCTTGCCTAGTTGCTTTTGTGACAAAATCTCACTCTATAGCCCAGGCTGGCCTCAAACTCATAGCAGTCTCCTGCCTCAGCCTCCCAAGTGCTGGAATTACTAGTTACCACTGTCATGCCTGGCTTCATAACAATGGTCTTAAGGAATATTAATGAATTGCCTTTCATCAGAGTTTCTCTCTTTTTTTTTTCTTTTTTTAAACAGATAACTGGTCTTGGGGTCAAAGGAATTGCCCCCTACCCCTATGCAGGATGAGTCACAGATCTTTCCTGACAGAGGAAGAAGCTTTGAAGACAACTAGGAAATCTGGGGCTGAAATCAATGAAATTTCAAGCTAGCTTTAAAAATGAGGCATTAATATTATAGCAGGGTTAAGTTTTAATTTTCAATTTGGAGGAGATATTTGGGAATGGGTCCAGGACATGGTGTATTAATAAAGCACATGTTTGAACAGTGAGCTACATCCCCAGCACCCTTAATTTACAATTTTAATGTAGAGCACTTTTCACAGGAGATGACAGGTAGTTTTAATAACACACACTAAGGCCTTCTGTAAATCCTATAGAAATTCAAAGAGTAGTTGAACTGTCAAACAACCTATTGATCCTTTGTAAATTGCTCAGAGACGTTGAAATGGGAGCATGTCTAATCTTCATTCTGCATTCCATACTTACTATACCCAAAGCTTCAAAAAATGAATACACAGAAATTTGTGGATGGTTTATTATAATTGCGTGTTATTTTACAAGCTAAAATATTGCCAGAGGATGGGATTCAAACACTCTGGCAAAATCCATGGTTCTAACTGCCACCTACTGGACATAAAAAGGAATACATTATGTTGGAAAAAAAAATTTTTAATTTTTTTACATTTACTTATTTGTGTGTGTGTGTGTGTGTGTGTGTGTGTGTGTGTGTGTGTGTGTGTACGAGTGCTCAAGGGAGGTCAGAGGACAACTATGGGAAGTTGGTTCTCCTTGCCCTATGTGGGTTCCAGGGATCAAACTCAGTTTGCCACACTTGGTCCCAAGCACCCTTACACCATCTCACTGGCCTTTTTGAGACATGTTTCCCAGGCTGGATTTGAACTTGCTATGTAGCTTAGGTTGACCTTTAACTCTTGATTCTCCTGCGTGTCTCCACTTCCCAAGTGCTAGGATTATAGATGTGTGCCATCATGCCTGGTTTGGAAATAATTTTAAAGTAATATTATTGAGTTATAATTGGCCTGAACATATTTAAAGTATAAAATTTAACAAAATTATCATATATACATATTCATGATACCAACACCATAGACAAAATAATGAATCTGTCTACTATTCTCAAAACTTTCCTTATAATCCTTCCCCTCTGCCCTTCAGCATGCTTGTGCCCCATCCCCAGGAAATTACTGATCTACTTTCTGTTCATAGAAATCCACCTCAAAGTTAGGTAGTGCCAAGCTGCAGTTCCAGCTCAGTGGTGAAGGGCTTGCCTAGCATGCACAAAGCTCTGGATTCAATCCCTGGCAGCACAAACATATATAAAGTAGATAGTGTGATTTCTCCAACTATGTTCTGTTTGGTTTTGGGTTTTTGTTTTGTTTTCTGTTCATTTGTTGAGACCGAGTGTCACTCTGTCACCCAAGCTGGGCTTGAACTCATGATAATCCTCCTGCCTCAGCCTCCTGACTACTGGGACTATAGATACCACCACCAGCTTCCAAATTCAGAATATTTTCAGTTATCTTAATTTGGTCTTCAGTAATATTTAATTTTATTAGGGTTCTTTTTGGTGTTGGGAATTGAATTTAGGCACACACTAAACATATGTTCTATTAATAAAGTGCACATCAGTCCATTTATAAATTCATAAATCACTTAAGTGCTACAATATCAACTGCTACAATATCAACTGGAATTCCTTTAAAAGTTATGGAACAGCCGGGCCTGGTGGCGCACGCCTTTAATCCCAGCACTTGGGAGGCAGAGGCAGGCGGATCTTTGTGAGTTCGAGGCCAGCCTGGTCTACATAGTGAGTTCCAGGACAGCTGGGGCTAAGGGGAGCCCCTTCCTCGAAAAGAAAAAAAAAAAAAAAAAAGTTATGGAACAATTTGAGTGAACTGGTACCTGTATTAGCCACTTTTTTTTATTGCTGTGACAAAATATAAAAAGCCACTTAAGGAAGGGCTTATCTTGGTCAAAGTTAGTTGAGTACAGTTCATCCTGGCAAGGAAGGCATGGTGGTTTGAGCAACTCTTGGTTGTTGAAGTAGGAGTGCAAGGCATATTGCGACTGCATTCTGGGTCCCCAGTCCATGGAAGGCACCACCTACATTCAGGGTGGGTCTTGCCACTTAAGTTAAACATCTGGAAGCATCCTCACTAACACTCCCAGAGGCATGTTTCCCAGGTCATTCTAAATTCTGTCAGGAAGACCTAAACTTCCCAGCATTCTTACTCTTTTGTGTCTTCAGACCTGTTCTCACTAATTATTCAATTTTTTATTAGTGGTTTGAGCACATAGATCATGTACATGTCTGGAAAAGTTTGTATACAATTTGGACCCAGGGCTGGTTTTTTTTTTTTTTTTGGTCTTTTTGATACAGGGTCTCCCTGTAGCCCCAGCTATCCTGGAACTCATTATGTAGACCAGGCTGGCCTTGAACTCACAGAGAGCCGCCTGCCTCTGCCTCCCAAGTGCTGGGATTGAAGGCGTGCACCACCATGCCCAGGGCTGTTTTAAGTCAAGGTCTAGCTATATTGCCCAGGTTTGTCTGTCTCAACACTTAAGTGTTCCTCCTGCTTCAGCCTCCTTGGTAGCTGAGACTACAGGCCTGTGACCAGGCTCAGCTAGTATTTTCATTTTCATTTATGTGTGTGTTCTGCCTGCACATATGCAAGTGCACCGATGGCATGCAATGCTTTCATAAGCCTGAAGAGGGTGTTAAATCCCCTGGAACTGGAGCTAAAGACCGTTGTTAGCCACCATGTGGGTGCTGGAAACTGAACCCAGGTCCTTTTCAAGAGCAGCCGGTGTTGGGTTCTAAATATTTTTAATTTCCTAGATTTTGTCTTTGTCGCATGGATTAGAGTATGTTGGATAATTTCCAAATGCTTGGAGGGTTTATTATTATCATTTCTGGTACTGATTTCAGGTTTAATTCTATTATGAACAGAAAACTTTTCATGATTTCAATTCTTTGAAATTTATTGAAGTTGGATTTTGAACCAAGCTAGAGCCTATCTTCCTGATCTTTAAGCACTTGAGAAAAATGTCTGCTTGTTTGGAATGGAATGTTCTATAAATGTGCATTAGATTTAGGAAGTTGGTGGTGGTATTTGGTTCTTTGTGTCTGTGTTCATGTGGGTGTGCACATATGCATGTGAATGTCCATGCATATGCATGTGGAAGTTGAAGGTCGACATCAAGTGTCTTCCTTGGCCACTCTCTACTTCATTCTTTGACACAGGTTGTCTCACTGAAGCTGGAGCTCCATTTGGCTAGACTCTAGACTGCTCAGTGAGCTCCGGGAAACTGCCTGTCTCTGCGCTCCCCAGCACTGGGATTACAGAGGCATGCTGTCACACCCAACTTTTACATGGATGCCAGGGAATCCAAACTTGAGTCCTCGTGCTTGGGGGGGGGGGGCAGGCACTTTATCAACTGAGCCATCTCTGCAGGCTCCTGTTCTTTCTGAGATTCTATCTACTAGTTCTATTAGCTTGGGGGAAAAACAGACAATGACAGCTATAATCTTTTTCAATTATTTCTCTACTTGATATGATAGTTTTGGGGTTGTATGTTTTAGAATGCTGTCATTAGGTACATACACTTTCAAATTGTATATTTTCTTGATGAATTGACCCTTTTTAAATATTTGCACCTCTTTTTATCCTGGGTAAATTTTTTTGCTCTAAAGTTCAATTTTCCCAGTTTTCTTTTTGTTCATATTTATATAATTTGTCACATTTATTCAGCCTCTTTTCTGTGCATGTGTGTGGTACTATAGATAGAATCCAGAGCCTTGTGTACCCTAGCAAGTCCTCTATCATTAAGGCACACCTCCAGCTCTCCACCTTCTTCATTTAAAAGTAGATTTATTTAACATTTAAAATTTTCTTTATATGTATGAGTGTATTGCCTGCATGTGTGTAAGTGTACCCATGTCATGCAGTGCTTGTAGAGATCAGAAGAGGACGTCATATTCCCCTGGAACTGGAGTTATGGACAGTTGTCAGCCACCGTGTGGGTGCTGGGAATCAGACCCAGGTCCTCTGCAAGAGCAGCCAGTGCTCATAGCCACTGAGTCACCTCTCTAGCCCCTTATTTAACTTTTTAAAAAGATATTTATAGCTGGGCATGGTGGCGCACGCCTTTAATCCCAGCACTTGGGAGGCAGAGGCAGGCAGATCTCTGAGTTCAAGGCCAGCCTGGTCTACATAGTGAGTTCCAGGACAGCTGGGGCTACAGGGAGACCCTGTCTCAAAAAAGACCAAAAAAAATATATTTATGTGTATGAATGGTTTGCCTTCATGTATATTATGCGCACTGTGTCCATGGTGTGTCTGTGGAGGTCAGAAGAGGGCACCAGATCCTTGTAACTGAAATTACAGGTGGTTTTGAGCTGCCATGTGGATGACAGGAACTGAACCCAGATCCTCTGGAAGAGCAGCAGTGTTCTTAACCCCTGAGACATCTCTCCAGTCCCACGATGTATTCATTTTTTATGTGTATGAATGTTTGCTATTCTGTGCACAATGTATATCCTGGTGCCCATGAAATCCAGAAGGGGGTGTCAGATCACTGGAACTGGAGTTATAGATGGTTGTAAGCCACCATGTGGGTCCTCTGCAAGAGCAGCAAGTGCTGTTAACCACTGAACCGTCTCTCCAGCCCCTTAACATTAGAAAAAAGCAGGAAAAGTTTATTTTGGACTATAGTTTGAGGGTACAGTTCATTTGTACAGGGTACAATCTCCACTTCACGGTGGCGAAGTCAAGGAAACAGGAGCTTGAGGCATGTAGTTACACTACATCTGCAATCAGGAGCAGAGAGAGATGAATCCACCCTCTTACTTTTTAAAAAAATATTATTTTAATTTTTATGTGTATTGTCTGCATGCATGTAAGTACACCTGTGTCGTACAATGCCCGTGGAGGGCAGAAGACAAAATTTAATTCTCCTGTAAATGGAGTTATGGATGGTTGTCAGCCACCATGTGGGTGCTGGGAATTGAACATGGGTCCTCTGCAGGAGCAATCAGTGCTCTTAACCGCTGAACCGCTTCTCCAGCTCGTATACCCTTTTACTTTTAAGCTGCTCAGATTATATTTGAAGTGGATTTCTTCTTTTAGCATATGGTTGATTATTCATTTCATCCTTCTAAGAATCTCTGTATTTTAATTGATATGTGTAGACATTTTTCACTTGGTACAATTATTGATACATTTGGATTTAGGTCTGCCATTTTATCATTTACTTTCTTTTCCTGTTTATTGTTTGTGTTTCCCCTTTCTTGCCTTCTTTTGGATATTTTTAAACATTTTCTTGAATCTTGATTTTAACTGTATCTACTTGTATAATTTTTAGATATTTATCATTTTTAATCATGTGTATGTGCATCATGTGGCTGCACATGCCCACAGAGGCCGGAGCTTGACTTACAGGCAGTTTTGATCCACCTGACATGGGTGCTAGGAATCGAACTCTGGTCCTTAGCAAGAGCAGTATGTGCTCTAGT